TGTTTTTTATTTGATTGATTTTAATGTGATGTTTTTATCTGTAATTTCTGGGCTTGTCCCCTTGTAAGCTGCCCCAAGTTGTTGTTGTTGTTGTTGTTGATGATGTAGAAGTGCCCGATCCTTGTCAGAATTTATGTTCTGCATGTATAATTTAAATAAAATTTATACAGTAAGACCATGTACTGTAACAGCAACTCCATATCTGTTGTTTCATTTATCTGTGGGAAAAATTATTTATCTAGGAATTTGCTAGCTCTCTCAGGGATTTTATGGTATGCTTCCTTCCAGAAATTATCTTAGGGTTCATTAATGGTGTATGGTCCAGCTGGAATCTCATGAATAAGAGATCTCACACCGCTGTATAATAATAATAATAATAATAATAATAATAATAATAATAATAATAATAATAATAATAATCCACATTGAACTGGGTTATATGGCAGTGTGGACTCAGATAATATTGTGGATTATCTGCCTTAATATTCTGGGTTATATGGCTGTGTGGAAGGGCCCTTACTGTATTATAAAAGTGCTATCAGTGCCTGGTGCTCAGCTCATCCTAAAAAAACTGAAATTCCTTTGTCGCCATGTAATTATAGCAAATGATGCATGAAGTCTTTCTGATGCTGTTTGGGCTTAAATACGAAGCATAAATATAATTAAACCCATAATGAACATTATGCACACAGTAAAAATGCCTGACAAATCAAATTCACTTTGAACACCAGAGAACATTTTTACACGGCTGTCAAAAGAAAAGGAGTGAGAGGGATTGTAAATGTTTAGACAGCAATTCTCTTTCTGCTTCTGTAGACTTCTGAGTTGGGATGTTATTGGTGCCCAATATTGGCAGCAGAGGGCGCTATATTGCTGCAAGAGGACAACTGGAGAGAGAAAATTCCTTAACAAACAGTTGCAAAGCAAAAACAATCTTCAGCTCTAAACAAATACAATTCTATTACCAAAGGTTTTGGAGAGTTTGTATGTAAAAAAAAAAGTTGCACTTTTAGACTTTTCTAATGAACAAGGGATTTTGAACTATGCATATACCAAATGTCTATTTGTGGGAGTGACTTACCTTGTGTCCTGTTTCAATACAGACATTTAGAAATGGTTATACAGGCATGCCTTATTTGTCCCCATGTATACCTTCCATTTCTTTAATTCTGACAAGCTCAATACAGAAAAGATCGAGGTGCTCCTGAACAGTCGAGGCATCAAGGAATGGGCATTCAGCTGTATTGGATGGATCACACTTCAGCTCCGAGCCTGTATAACCCTGTTTACATAGGTTTTGCACAGTATTCACACAATTAGTGTGGGTGCTACACCTATTCATGGAGATTTCAGACCTGGCCATGGTGGCACACATCTTGCTTATACTGCTTAGGCTCCATCTACACTGTTGAATGAATGCTGTTTGATACCACTTTACCTGCCCTGACCCAATGCTATTGAAGCATGGGAGTTGTAGTTTTAAAGGTCTTTAGCCTTCTCTTCCAAATAGTGCTTGTACTTCACCCAACTACAATTCTTACGATTCCATAGTATTGAGTCATGGGCAATGTCCTTGCAGACTGCCAATTCTCTCACACCAGAAGCGACTTGCAGTCTCTCAGGTCGCTCCTGACACGACAAAAAAAAAAAAGAGTCATGACAATTGAAATGGCACCAAACTACTTTAATTCTACTGTGTAAATGCATCCTTAGATGACTTGTATAAAAAGGAACATTGTAAATTCTACATCATCCACATGCAAATGAACAGAGCAGAAGCACCACCCCATCCTTTGAAACCAGGACGATATGACAGCAATGTCAGTCCCAAAACCATCACTTTTGTCCCACATGCTATGTAATATTTACATGAAACCGCTGGAAGAGATCATCCAGAGTTTTGGAGTTCAGTGTCAAATTTAGGCAAATGACACCCGACTCTATTACTCCTTTCCACCTAATACCAAGGATGCTGTCCTGATCCTGAACCAGTGCCTGTCATCAGTAATGGACTGGATGAGAGCTAACAAGCTGAAACTAAATCCTGACAAGACAGAGGCACAAGTCAATCGAAAGGTGGGTCAGGGTATGGGATTACAGCCTGTCTTGGATTGGGGTTATCCTGGATTAATTGCTGACCCTGGAACCCCAGGTATTGGCAGTGGCCAAGAGCGCCTTTGCACAGTTAAAACTTGTGCAGCAGCTGCGCCTGCACCTTAACACGCTAAATCTGGCCATGGTAGTCCATGCCTTAGTCACATAGACTACTGTAACGCTCTCTACATGGGGGTGCCTTTGAAGATAGTTCAGAAGCTTCAGCTGGTCCAGAGATTGGCAGCCAGGTTACTAACTGAAGTGCCATTCAGGGAGAGAACTACTCCCATGGTTGCCATTCTGCTTCCAGGCTAAATACAAAGTGCTTGTCATTACCTTTAAAGCCCTAAATGGCTTGGGTCCAGACTATCTGATGATCTGCATCTCCCACTACAGACCAATTCGGACACTGCAGCCATCGGAAGAGGCCCTGCTCTCGGTCCCACCCCCATCCCAAGCATAGCTGGCTGGTGGGAACTAGAGAAAGGGCCTTCTCTGTGGCTCCCCCCACCTCTGGAACCCCCTTCCTAAGGAATTAAAGATTGCCCCCTCCCTCCCCACCTTTAAGAAACAGCTGAAGACATACCTTTGCTCACTGGCTTACAAGGAATAGATGGCAATACTACCATTATGCCTCTGATTAATAGCTGCCATCAGTATCCATGTCCTGTTCGTCCCACTAGCTCAATAGACATCTTGAGCAATGATCAATCTTATTTGCCCCCAAGGAACCCTGTTTGCTTTGGGAAACTGACGCTTCTGTTTCATGTTTGCTGTTTTGTTTCATGTCTGATATAATAGGTTGTGTTTTCTTTATTTTTAATTGTTAACTTATAATTTGCTTTGATATATTGGGTGGTAAATTGAATGTTTGCCTTTTATGCTTGGAATCTGCCCTTAGTCCCTCCAGGGAGATAGGGTGGAATATAAAGTTTTATTTATTTATTTATATTATTTAGATTTAGTAAAAATATGTAAGATATTTTTCCATGTCAGGACTGACTTGAGAAACTGCAAGTCGTTTCTGGTGTGAGAAAATTGGCTGTCTGCAAGGACGTTGCCCAGGGGAAGTCCAGATTTTTTTGATGTTTTACAATCCTTGTGGGAGGCTTCTCTAATGTCCCCTATTAGCTGGAGCTAACAGAGGGAGCTCATCTATGCTGTCCCCTGATTTGAACCTCCAACCTGTTGGTCTTCAGTCCTGCCAGCACAAGGGTTTAACCCACTGTGCCATCATGGGCCCCATATGTAAGATTAACCCTACCACGAACATGTCATAGTCCTATACCATATGAACAATCCCCATGGGTCATGAAATAAAACATTTTGTTTCAGTAACAAAATTATAGTTTCTGTTTTTCTCAGATTCTTCCATGGCTGAGACCACAATTTTTCGATCATGTTCCCCCACACAAATATACACGATTTCTATACTCTACCAAGTTTGTCCATGCCTGGTGCAGACTCAGACTAGGAAGGCTAAAACCATTCTGGTGGGATTTGGAGGACACAGTGCTCTCTGAATGTAGGTGAACTACAACTCCCACACTCAAGGTCAATGCCCACCAAACCCTATAATCACAGCAACTACAACTTCCAAATGACAAAATCATAATTTTTGGAGTGATGGTCACGCCTTGTGTTGTGAGATGTTTTGTTGCCAAACTTGGTGTGATTTCGTTCATTGGTTCTTTTGTTTTTAAGGTACTCATTATGCACAGAGCATTTTTAGATAGATAGATAGATAGATAGATAGATAGATAGATAGATAGATAGATAGATAGATAGATAGACCTTGAAGGAGCTGGGGGTGGTGACGGCCGACAGGGAGCTCTTGCGTGGGCTGGTCCATGAGGTCACGAAGAGTCGGAGACGACTGAACGAATGAACAACAACAGATAGATAGATAGATAGAAAGGTAGAGAGAAAGATAGATAGATAGATAGATAGATAGAAAGACAGATAGAAAGATAGATAGATAGATAGATAGAAAGATAGATAGATAGAAAGATAGATAGAAAGATAGATAGAAAGACAGATAGAAAGATAGATAGAAAGATAGATAGAAAGATAGAGAGAAAGAAAGATAGATAGATAGATAGAAAGATAGATAGATAGAAAGACAGATAGATAGAAAAATAGATAGAAAGATAGATAGATAGAAAGATAGATAGAAAGATAGATAGAAAAATAGATAGAAAGATAGATAGAAAGATAGATAGATAGATAGATAGATGATAGATAGATAGATAGATAGATAGATAGATAGATAGATAGATAGATAGATAGATAGAGATTATGAAGGGAATGGAGCGCCTTTGAAACGCGTGGCACGCTTCGAAACCCAACATATCAAGAGCCGGCAAGAAAGCTCTCGATGCTATTGGCTGCCCTCCCCACCAATCCGCGACTTCCTCGCTTCCGATTGGCTGTTTGCTTATTCCGGCTGGAGCTCGCTCCCTCATAGAGATACACACACACGGAGTCACGTGCTGAGAGCGGGGCGGGGACTGTGGCGCGTGCGGGTTAGCCGCCGCTCTCCTGACAGAACTGACTTGAGAGCGCGGTGGGCGGGGCAAAGCTCTTGGGTTTCCTCGATGGAAGGTTTCGCTTGTCATTAAACGGCTATGGAGACCGGTCGGGCGGTGACGCTGACACTGAGGGAGAATTGTCTCTCTCTGTGTCTCCCTTTTTCCTTTTTTTCCCCTCACGGGAAGGAAAACAGAGCGGCGTTTGGAACGGCAGGCCGGCTCGCTCGCTCCCCCCCCCGTCCCCTTCCCTGCTCTCCGATTGGACCATTGCTTCCCGTTCGCCCCGCCCCTTTCCATGGTGGGCGCCTGATTGGTTGAGGCGCGCGCGCGGGCTCCGTCTCCCCCTCCCTCTCCCCGTTCCCAGGGGCAGGGGTTGGAGCGGTCCCCTCAGTCGCCTCTCACCCTCCGAGGAGGGCGCCACGATGGAGCCGCGCCGCTTGTGGTGGGTGTAGTATGGCCGCGGCGGCCGCCTGGCTCATGGCGGGGCGCCCAGGGGGAGGCGGCTGCGAGCCGCTGGTGCTGCCGCTGCTCCTGGGCGTCCTCCTCCTCAGCCGGTGCCTGGGCGAGCAGCCCCCGAGGGGAGCCGCCTCAGCCTCTTCCTCCTCCTCGGCGTCCTCCTCCTCTTCCTCCGTCTCCTCCGCCTTGCCGGACTCTGAGGAGACTGTCATCATCGGCTTGCGGCTGGAGGACACGGACGACGTCTCCTTCATGGAGAAAGGCGTGCTGCGTGTGAGCGAGCGGACCCGGGTCAAGCTGCGGGTCTACGGGCAGAACATCAACAACGAGACCTGGTCGCGCATCGCCTTCACGGAGCACGAGCGGCGGCGCGAGGGCGGGGAGGCCGCCGAGGAGGGCCGCGCGCCGGCCTCCTCTTCCTCCTCTTCCTCGCCTTCCTCTCCCTCCTCGCTGCAGCGCTGCGGCATCCGCACCTCGGACATCATCATCCGTCCCCACATCGCGCTCAACCGCCGCACCTCCGGCGTCATCGAGATCGACATCAAGCCCTTGCGCAAGACGGAGAAGAGCAAGTCCTACTACCTGTGCACCTCGGTCTCCTCCCCGGCGGCGGCCTCGGGCGGCCCGGGAGGCGTGGGCGTGGGCCCCGGGGTGATCAGCCCTGATGGCGGGCCCTGGACGGAGACGCTGTGGTTCTACCACGACGGCGAGGACACCAAGATGATCGTGGGCGAGGAGAAGAAGTTCCTCCTGCCCTTCTGGCTGCAGGTCATCTTCATCTCCCTCCTGCTCTGCCTCTCCGGGATGTTCAGCGGGCTCAACCTGGGCCTCATGGCCCTGGACCCCATGGAGCTGCGCATCGTCCAGAACTGCGGGACCGAGAAGGAGAAGAACTACGCCAAGCGCATCGAGCCCGTCCGCCGCCAGGGCAACTACCTGCTCTGCTCGCTGCTCCTGGGCAACGTCCTGGTCAACACCACGCTCACCATCCTCCTGGACGACATCGCCGGCTCCGGATTGGTCGCCGTCGTCGTCTCCACCATTGGGATTGTCATCTTCGGCGAGATCGTGCCGCAGGCCATTTGCTCCCGGCACGGCCTAGCCGTGGGCGCCAACACCATCTTCCTCACCAAGTTCTTCATGATGATGACCTTCCCGGCCTCTTACCCGGTCAGCAAACTGTTAGACTGTGTCTTGGGACAGGAGATCGGCACTGTCTACAACCGGGAGAAACTGCTGGAAATGTTGAGGGTCACGGACCCGTACAATGACCTGGTCAAGGAGGAGCTCAACATTATCCAAGGGGCACTGGAGTTGCGCACCAAGACGGTGGAGGACGTCATGACTCCGCTTCGGGACTGCTTTATGATCACAGCAGAGGCCGTGCTGGATTTCAACACCATGTCCGAAATTATGGAGAGCGGCTACACCCGCATCCCTGTCTTCGAAGGGGATCGCTCCAACATTGTGGACCTTCTTTTTGTCAAGGACTTGGCTTTTGTGGATCCGGACGATTGCACCCCGCTCAAAACCATCACCCGTTTCTATAACCACCCGCTGCACTTTGTCTTCAACGATACCAAGCTGGACGCCATGCTTGAGGAATTCAAAAAAGGTGGGATGATGGCTGTTGGAGATGGGAGTGCGGGAGGAAAATGTAGAAGGTGACGTCCAGGGATAGGCATTTGTTTCTTCTATTCCAGGGGTCCTCAAACTAAGGCCCGGGGGCCAGATACGGCCCTCCAAGTCATTTACCCGGCCCTCGCTCAGGGTCAACCTAAGTCTGACTTGAGAGCACACAACAACAGCAATCCTATCTCATCAGCCAAAAGCAGGCCCACACTTCCCATTGAAATACTAATAAGTTTATATTTGTTAAAAAAAATTCTTCATTTTAATTATTGTATTGTTTTAAAGTGTTTTTTGCACTAAAAATAAGATATGTGCAGTGTGCATAGGAATTCATTCATGGTTGTTGTTTTTTTTCAAATTATAATCCGGCCCTCCAGCAGTTTGAGGGATTGTGACCTGGCCCTCTGTTTAAAAAGTTTGAGGACCCCTGTTCTGTTCTATAGAAGCTGAGGTTCATGGTGTGCAGAAGTCTGCATTCAGCACCAAGTTCAGCTCTTGTATGCATGCCTCTTGCCTACATGCACTTGTATGGTGTAATTGTAGGTTAGCAGACTGATTCTTTGATTCGTGCTCCTTGCATAGGGCTCCCTGGTGGTGCAGTGGGTTAAACTGCTGAGCTGCTAAACTTGCTGACCAAAAGGTTGGTGGTTCAAATCCAGGGAGCATGTGAGTTCCTGCTGTTAGCCTTAGCTTTTGCCAACCTAGCAGTTCAAAAACATGCAAAAGTGAGTAGATCAATAGGTACCGTTTCTGCAGGAAGGTAATGGCGCTCCATGCAGTCATGCTGGCTACATGATCTTTGAGGTGTCTACGGACAACGCCGGCTCTTTGGCTTAGAAATGGAAATGAGCAGCACCCCCCCCCCCCGAGTCAGACACAACTAGACTTAATGTCAAGGGGATACCTGATCTTGAAGGTGTCTACGGACAACGCCGGCTCTTTGGCTTAGAAATGGAAATGAGCAGCACTTCCCCCCCAAAGTCAGACACGACTAGACTTAATGTCAAGGGGAAACCTTTACCTTTATTCTTGCATTGGCTTGGATCTGTTGCCCCTCTTATTCTAGGTCTATGTGCTTCATTGAGACTTTTTATTGCTGAATAATTGATTTGCAGGATACAGATGCTGAAGAATGGTTCCTTGCTAAATGTATCATTTAATGGGCTTTTGAGAAATACATGTATTGCAAACAAACATTTATCATAAAACAAGAGGAGAGGTTTGCAATCAAATTCCGTATTTGTATCTAAAAGAGCATGTGCAAAATATGTAGGCAAAAGGTAATAACTTACAAGGTTTGTTGTCAAGGCATGGGTGTAAGCTGTTAGGAATTGTGGGAGTTGAAATCCAAAAAACTTGGAGGACCAAAGTTTGCCCATGCCTGTTGTATCCCATGTGTGCAGCACCTCGAAAAGTTGGATTTTTGCTGACTTTTTGGCTTGGCTTCTTGCTGGCTTGATGGATTCAGCAAGTTGGATTCTTGCTGAATCCATCAAAAAGTTGGATTCTTGTTGGATTCTTCCTGGCTTGAAGTCTAATGGTTTTTGCATTAGACTTCAGTTCATACCCTTTGGCTACTATTTTTCAACGCCTAAACATCTACTTTACCTGCAGGCAGGGTGCATATTTTATATAAAAAGTGACAGCTTATGAGTACCAAGGCTCAACATTTATAATCTCTCAAGACAAAATCCCATAAAGAGGATGGTAGTGTATGAATTGCATCTAATGATAGATGGATGATGGCTTTTCATGTCTCCATCCATCCATATGCTGGAAAGCTATGTAAAAGTATGCTGTATAGAAGACCAAAAGCATTCTATGGGTATACTGAGCTTCTGTGAGGAATTATCAATGAATTGACAATCTGGAATGTGTCCAGAGGAGGGTGACTAAAATGATCAAGGGTCTGGAGAACAAGCCCTATGAGGAGCAGCTTAAAGAGCTGGGTATGTTTACATGCAGAAGAGAAGGCTGAGAGGGGACATGATGGTCATGTTTAAATATCTGAGGTGAAGTCATGGGGAAGAGGGAACAAGCTTGTTCCCTCTTTAAATATCTGAGGTGAGGTGAAGTCATGGGGAAGAGGGAACAAACTTGTTTTCTGCTGCCTTGGAGACTAGGACACGGAACAATGGCTTCAAACTACAAGAAAGGAGATTCTATTTGAACATGAGGGAGAACTTCCTAACTGAGAGAGCTGTTCAGCAGAGGAACTCTCTGCCTTGGGGTGTGGTGGAGGCTCCTTACTTGGAGGCTTTGAAACAGAGGTTGGGTGACTATCTGTCAGGGGTGCTTTGAATGCGATTTCCCTGCTCCTTGACAGAGGGTTGGACTGGATGACCCACGAGGTCTCTTCCAACTCTATGTTTCTATGATTCTATGATTGTAATCAGCATAATGTCTGAACAAAAAAAAAATCTGCATCATGATTTTATGTTTGAAACTATATGTGAGTTTATACAGTATTAAGTCCTACACAGAAATACCATCTGTATGAGGAGTTTTCTGTGAAATGTAAAAGGGTCTGTTCAACTACATATAAATTTTAAAACATATATATGCCTATATAACACATATATGCCTATCTCCAAATTACAACAAGATAGGTTCTGTAGGTTTGTTCTTATGTTGCATTTGTTTCTAAGTTGGAACAGGTACATTTTAAGTGTAACTCCAGCCAAATATAAGCTTTGGAAAGCAAAAGGAATGGTGAACACACCTGTGGTGTTTGTTTTGATGTCCGTGCCCCGTGTTCTGAAGTCTTCACCTCACTTTCTGTCCCTGTGATAATTGGATTTTGAAACAAATTGGCATGTTGTGGAAACAAGGATTAATGATAAAACTTTAGTGGAGACACCTTTACCCCATGACAATTCTTTCAGGAGTTAATTTCCCTTCCTAGGGGTAGATTTCTCTCACTTCCTGTTGTCTCACCCCCATTTGTAAATTTAAGTCATTTGTAAGTCAGATGTTTGTAACTCGGGGGGGGGGGGGGGTGCCTGTAGTTGCCTGTGGATAATGTTCTCTCATTTACACCTGTGCACACACTTCAGAAATCCCACTTGGAATGCTTCTCACTACTGATTAACCTATGGTAAGCAGGGACAAAGATGTCCCTCCCAATTGGGAGAAAAAAGGAGGATGCCTGATTTTGGTTTCCTGGAAAAGTTGGATATTCTTCATTAACTAGTTCATTATTGTTGTTGTCTTTCTAATGTGAAAAAATGGGAGAAACGGTTTTGGGATCTTTTGTCTGAGGTGCCAAAAGAATTTTCCCGATGTTGGTTGGTATCCACCTATATTTTGGGGAGTGAGGGCACCACTCTGTTGTGCTTTGGTCAGCTCAAGTAATAGACTCTTAATGCTCAGCTTTTTCCATGTGAGTTGTTTAAATTTTACTGTATACAGTAAGTCTTTGTGGGTTTTTAATGACCTCAGCATATTCTTTTCCATTGAGATTGTCGTATTCATATGTTTCGTCAGCAAATGAGCAGAAGGCAATAAAAAGATATCCATGGTTTATGCCTGTCAGTTATGGAGCTCTTTCCCATGATAGTCCTGAGATTCTTTGAAACATTTTAAAGCTAACTTTTGTAAATTGATATTGATGGCAGAGTTAAGTTAAAAGAGTGTAGTAAAAGATGTTAATTCTCTTAGTGAGTGGTGTGTTGAACAGCCTAACCTTAAATCTAGAGAAATTAAATCTAGAGAAATTAAAAAAAACTTGTGATGAGAACTTTCACAGATTAAAAGGGGTCTACCCTTCTGACCATCTTCCGAAATGTATTTGCTCTATGGTTGGGTAACCAGCATAGTGCTGGAATTAACCTTTGCTGAAGGTATTTTCTGCACTGTAACTGAACTTTTGCACTCAGGTTTCTGGTTTCTAGGCAGTAAACTCTGGTGGTTAATTTCAGGACTGTGGCTGATTAACACATTAAGATATGGCTCTGTGCACTAGGTTTTTCCATCATTGTGTTAGCTCCTAAATTCTAACATGTTTTTGATCTCATAAATTAATAAGGCAATTTGGCAGTAAAATACTTTCTTAAACCTGTCAGTGCCTCCTGCTGTCACCTGATATGTTGCTGTTATTGTTGTTTGCCTTCAAGTTGTTTCCAACTTACAGACCCTAAAGCAATTAAGATGTTTTATTGACAATATTTGTTCAGTCTTTGCCTTCCTCTGAGGCCGAGAGAGAGTGATTTGTGCAAGGTCACCCGGAGGGTTTCCATTGCTGCAGGGGGATTCAAATTCTGATCTCCAGATTTGTAGGATGCATCTGCAGCAGTGGTTCTTAATCTGTGGGCCGTGGGCCGCGAGGAAGAAAATCTGGGCTGCGAGCCTCCTTCCTTTTTCTTAATTTATTTTATTTCTGCTCCTTTCATGCCACCTGCCACTTCTTCCTTGTCACTGACCATGGCATATGTTCTGTATCAGAAACTAGTGCTGATGTGGTCTATCCAATTGAGTTTTCTGAATCAGCACCCCAAACCGAATCTAAAGTTGACCAAAAACTGATTCGTAACCCTTTTGGTACTAATGTTGGAGAGTGGTCTCTGGTCAAAAAAAGGTTGGGAACCACTGATCTACACTGTAGAATTAATGCAGTTCGACATTACTTTAACTGTCATGACTCAATGCTGTAGAATTCTGGGATTTGTGATTTTGTGGAATTATTGACCTTTTCTGTCGGCTGCCTCTGGTGCCTTACCAAATCACAAACCCCAGGATTCCTGAGCATTCAGTTATGACAGCAAAAGTGGTGTAATTGCATTCAGTAGTGACAGCAAAAGTGGTGTAATCTATACTGTAATTCTACAGTATAGATTTAACAAACGATCCACATATTTCCAGATACAGTATATTCTTTTTCTTAAATAGAAAGTCAGGTTTCTTTATCAATTTTCCAAAAGGTGCCTTCAAATGAAATATCAGCCTATGCCATTTTTGCCTGCAGTTCTATTTTAGAGCGAATTT